GTGTGAAAGGCCGATGCACCCTTAAAAAAGAAACGGAACCTACACCTTGCAGCCAACATCGCCCTGGTTCGCGCTGCCCAAGCCAAGCTCTCTCAGGAATGAGTGGTGGCTTTTCCATGGAAGTTCCGAGGTCCGGCCTCCAGAGCTTTCTTTTGTTGTGCCGGCTAAGGAAAGATGCAGGATAGATACAGTTATGTTAGGGTAGTTCTCTCTCTCTCTCTCTCTATAGGGTCCCTTCTAGGTCCCCAATATAGTACGGCACCCTTGTAAAAAGGACCCTAGAAGGGACCCTAATTTAGAGAACTACCCATATGTATGCATGTGTGCATGTATTTATGTATGTCTGCCTTCTTGCCTTAACCTTGAATAATTAGAACAGGGTTCGGGGGTTCCTTTACAGGGTTCCTTTAAGGGTTCTACAAGTTTTGGTGTAAGGGTTTGGTATAGGAGCTTAAAATTGTGAGTAGGGTTTTGGTGTTCCTTTAAAGGGTTTCTGTAAAGGTTCTTTATGATAGTGTAGGGGCCTTAATAGTTTGAGTAGGGTTTTGGAGACTTGCAGTAGAGTTATGGACAGGAACCCTACGGAATACCATTAGCGTAGGGGCCTTAGTGATTAGAATAGGGTTTTTGGGGCCCATTATACTATAATTATAACAAGGAGCCCCCAAAATAGTATAGGTAATTATTTAGGCCCCTACCATTCATCAGACCTCTTTAGTTCTTCGGGGACTTCGGGCGGGCTGTAAGGCGTTGTGGTTTGGTTCTGGTTTAGGGTTTATGGTTTAGGGCGGTCGTAAATCGCCAAAGGCTTGCAATGGGTTTATTCTAGGACATTTCAGGTGGGTAGTTACCGTTACAGGAGCCTCAAAGAAGGTTTATATACCCTATAGAAGCCTTAAGCCCCATATACCCTAAGCTCCCCACCTGTAGTTTCCTTTAGTTTACATATGATCTAGGGTTGGAGGGAGCTCACAATGAGCAGTCAGAATTGCGCATGGCCGTCGAATCTTGCAGCGCAACATTACATAGCTCTGAACCCACAGGCCTTTCTGGGATCACTAAGCACACACGCAGATATGTATATACATATATATATATATAATACTATATATATATATACACACTCTCTCTCTCTCTCTATATATATATATATAATTTTTAGAGAGAGAGAGAGAGAGAGAGAGAGAGAGCGAGCCCCCAAAAGGTCTCATTTCAGGTTTATGTGAGCCGGAGGCTTGACGTCACATCGGGGGCGGTCACGTGTTGGGGTTTCGGGTCTCGCGGTGAGGCTTTGAAGAATGATCTTCAAAGGAAGCTACTTCGAAAAAGAATCCTGATCCATCATCACCCTGAAAACCGTAGTTGAACCGCAAAAGCACCCAATGCCCACACCTCTAAACCCTGTAACTCTGAAGCCATACTCTTGTAGTTCAGTTGCATTGGGAATTCAAGGGAACACCATTCCTAATTCTTCAGTTCAGTTCTCTATGTTCAACCCACCGCTTACGGAACCTATATTGAAACTTAAGCTTCTTGCTCAGAAGCTTAATCACAGATAGACACCTTAGAGAACCCTTCTGGAGCCCTGAAATAGAACAGTTTCCACACCCACCCCTAGAGCCCCTAAGCCTACTCTGCCTGGGAGGCTTCATGCCTTTCCATCTGCGAGAGGAACTTTGCTTTGGATCTCGCTGGATCCGGCTCCTCGGCGAACTCGAAAAAGCTAGGTTTCAATATGGTAACAAAGCGTTACTACATGTTTTGAGGGTTTAACAGGGGGATATCATGATTGGACTTGCCCCTAAACCCCAAACCCTAATCCACTGAACCCTAAACACCTAACCCCTAAACCCTGAACCCTAAACCCTAAACCCCTCTAAACCCTGAACCCTGAACCCCTTAACCCCTCGAAGAAGGAAGCTCAGGGCCTGAACGCCGCGTCCTCGGGGCCTCCTTGTAAACGGACTCGTTTTTGCAAAGAGTTTATAGGGGTCGAGTTGTGGGGTCTGTTTGTGTTTTTTTTTAAAATAATTTTGGCGGGGGAAAAGTCTAGGATTGGTTTGCTTCTTGGGTGGGAAAACCCTAAACCCTATAAACCCTATAAACCCGATAAGCGCTATAAGCCCTATAAACCCTAAACCCTACAAGCCCTACACCCCGAACCCGAAACTGGGTTTAGGGTCTTTTTTGGGGGTTTGGGCATCAGCTCGTCGACCCCGAAGTCCAAAGCGCAGAAGCCAGAGCTACTGCAGGTGCAACTTGGAAAAAGTCCAGCGGAGCAGGTGGCGGGGAAGGGTTTTGGGGCTTTGGGGTTGGGTTAGGGTCTAGGGTTTAGGGTTTAGGGGTGGCAAACGCCGATGTTCTCGTTAAGGATCGGTTTAGAGCTCGGTAGGCCGCAAGAACTGAAAGGAAGTTGGCAAGATTCACAGGCATAATACAGCCCCCACCCCCCCCCGCCATGTTAGCAGATGTGAGTATGTTCTAGAAAACCTGGTCGATATAGAATATCCATCGTTAGCTTTGGCGAGTACTTGCAGGTTCGGCATTCCCGACGTAACAGTCGAGCCACTGCATGCTCGACAAGTAACTTTGCTGAATCTTTTGGGGCCTAGGGCCTATGCCGGTTTAGGATTTACAGTCTTCGGTGGCAGTCCCTTTCTGCAGTAGCGCCTGAAATGAATCCTGAACACCTTGTTTCGCCAAACGTGCTTCCCTAAACCTAAACTCCAGATCAAAGGTGTCATGGCAAGTTACTTGATTGAGAGAAAACCTAATCTAACCCGCCCTCCCTCACTGCAGCAGCCCCTGCACAGGGAAATACCAGGGCCCAGTCTTAACCTGTTGCTGCCAGCGGTATTTGCCTACCCCACGCCCTTCAACTAAAACCCATCTCAAACTCTGAACCCTCCCTGCCTTGAAGCGGACATGCAATGCCCCTACATGGGTGGTTCTCTAAATTGGGGTCCCTTTCTAGATCCACAAAACAGAACGGCACCCTTGTAAAAAGGGATCATCTTGAAAGGGACCCTAATTTAGAGAATTACCTATATCCTGAACACCCTAAACCCTAAACCCCTGAGCAGTGCCCAATTTGACAGCCAGGCGCTTCGCTGTACGGGCCCGGCGTGTACTTCGCGGAGAGAATAACGACGCTGTTTCCTGTTTGTGACCGGCGTTTCGGATTCAGGATTTTTGGGGTTTAGGATTCAGGATTTAGGGCTCGGTCTGCAGGGTTTATGATTTAGGGTTCGGATATAGGGTTCAGGAGTTAGGGTGGAAGAAGTTAGGCTTACGGGTTCGGCTTGACGGTTCAGGGCTCAAGGCTCAAGTTCAGCTTCATAGGGCTCAAGACGAGCAAGTTGAGTGAAGAATGCTGTTCAACGGGTACGTCTGTCGGACTAGGAGACTCAAGGAAGCCTGAACAAGCTGCGGAAGTGGGTTAGGTTTAGGGTTTAGGGTTTGGGGTTATAGGCGTTTTGGTTGGCGTGGGCCTGCTGTCATGTGTTTTGAGGGCCTCCCCCCGTGGGGGCTTGTGCCACTAACCTTCAAGTTGCGCTGGACTTTGTAATCCTAGCACATCCAAAATCCGAATCCTGAACTTTACACGCCAAGACTAGAAGAACATCTTTGAACCCCAATCAAACCACAAGCTCCACCCCAAGCCCCAAGCCAAAGATCCGAGAACAGTCCTTAAACCTTAAGTCGCGACCCCCTAAACCACAAGGCCACGCAAGACGCAATTCTTCGAACCCCAACCAAACAAGCAAATCACCTCGAAGCCCCAAGCCCTAAACCCTAACTCAAACCCCATCATGCCCTCAAACCAACCCCAAGCACTGACCTTTTACTTAAGCCAACCTCGAAGGAAGGCTGACGAGTATGCAGTCGGGAGTGCTGGGGAGAATGGTTCCACAGTCTACACGGCTAGAGTCTCAGTGGCGCTGGCTTGGGGTTGTCTCGGATTTAGGGAGAGCGGCACGGCTTTGCGTGTTTGGGGGGTTCAGTTACTAGTGGGTTTGGGCCGATCTGATTTGTCTTCAGCTTTGCATGGGGCACGGGGTTTGATGTTTGCAGGACGAGTTGAACTGGTGCAAAGGGAGATTCAGAAGTCCGCCTGTCCGTTTGCAGTTCGCTTACACAATTCTTTTGCGTTGCTTGGAGGCGCTCTCTGAATCCTCGCAGGGCGATAGCGGTGTTCGCATCAGAAGTAGAGCATCATGTTCCCCTTTCCGCGCTTCCTCAGCGTGCTGGTGGGCTTGCCGATTGCGAAGTGTGCACTAAACGTTCTCCAGCGGTCCTCTACCGCCAATACCGGGGCCTTGAATAGCAGCGGCCATTGGGAGGAGTCCGTGCTTGCTGCTTGGGCTGAGGAGCCGGCATGTCAAGCCTCAGTGCTCCGAGGTCAGTGTGGGGTCGGTGCTGTGGTCGTCAGAGTGCAGCCGAGTGGAGACATCACATCCCAGGTCTACACTGCTGGTGCAGGGGGTGGGCTTGCACCCTTTGATGGACAGAAGATGACATCGATTTTTCCCATCGCCAGCAATACCAAGATCCTCACATCCATCTTGTTGGTGTCCTTGGCCGACCACGGGAAGCTGGCTATGGATGAGACCGTCGGCAGTTTCCTAGATCAGACGTGTGGCAGCCTACCTCAACCTGTGGCCAACATCACATTGTTTCAGTTGGCATCACAAACTTCTGGCCTGCCTGCACAGCCAACGAACCTCGGTGGCACCCCGCGGATTCTTATGTTTCCCTTTTTGATCCTTTTGGCGGTAGCTTGTATGCTAATAGACAATAGACCAATCTCAATTCCGTCTGCCCGGAACTACAACCCAGGAACCGGCACCTGGAGCCATGCAAGCGCGATCCGGTGGATTGCAACCCATTTACGCAGTACACTGTGCAAGACCTTTGCCAGACGCTACGTGAGGTCACCCTTGGGCCCAAGGGACACTACCTCTACTCGAACTTGGCGTTTGGAATGCTAGGCTACTTACTGGAGCGTCGCATGGGATCTTCTTTCGAGCAGCTCACCCACACTTGGGTACTGCAGCCGCTCGGCATGTACAGCGGCAAGATCACCCTGAATGAGACTGAATGGCAGACGCTGACACCTCAAGGAAAAGATGCAAAAACCGGCGAGGGCCGCTGGCGGCGCCAGCCCTATGGCATTCTCCAAGGCAATGGTGCCTTCCTCGTGAGCATTCCAGACATGGGCCGGCTGGTAGGCTCGATGATCAAGGCAGAGAGGGGTCGAGAGACCCCCTTGGCGGCCAGCCTCCGGCAGACCCTGCAGCCTGTGACTTGGAGCGGCCTTTGCGCATGCAATGCCTGCGAAGAGGAGGAGTTGCTGAAGCTCTCCATTCCGACGGCGGAACGTGGGGTTGTTGCTATGGGCTGGGAGTCCTCGAGCTCAGGACTTCGCCGAGGATGGCACAAGGCTGGGGACATCGCTGGATACTCTTCTTGGATGGCCTTCAACGCTGCCTCGGGCCGAGGGGCTTTCGGCGTCGACACCTGTGGGGGCTGTGGTGCTGAACTGGGTTCCTTACGGGGTTCGGCGGTGCAGCAGATGGTGCAGCTGCTGGCAGATGGCCCTCCCGAGGTTGTGGCACCTTTGCCCCAGCTGGCTGAAGCAGAGCTTTCTGCACTCGTTGGTGACTTCAAGGCATGTCCAGCAGCCCCTGGCAAGACTCAGAGCAGCAGTTTGTCACGATTGTCTTTGTCTTTGCATGGCTCAGACAGAAGGAAGTTACTTGCAAGCACCGAGTCGTTTTCTGGTGAGAGGAGCCCGGCTGTCACTGCATCGCCATACAGCTCGGCCGAATCAGACGGTTTGCAGGCCTTTTCAGGTGTCGTTCTCGCATTGTCAGATCCAGTTGGCACGATTCATGGAGGGGCTAATGCGAAAGGACCGCTGGCAACAGTTGCGCAGCGGCGTAGCATCCACTTTCTGGCAGACTCCCGGTTTCCGAACAAACGTGGAGCAGCGGTGCTTCACATCGGCGGTGTTGATGTTTTCTTCGTGGACGATGTCTCTCAGTGCCCGTAGTCTATTGCCTGCATCATGCTAAGTTCGCCAACTTTTGTAGCCATACTTCTGTACAGCTCATGTTCCAAAGCAGTCCCCATGGTGGCAAGGATCACTTGGTCTCTGCAGTGCACACGGGTGCATCGGATCCATTGGGGCCCAACAGCATGACAGAATTGCAGCCGACAGCGCTGAAAAGCCGCTATGACTCTTGCGCGAGCCTGCATGTGTGTGTAGGTCGACCAGGTGGGGAGAAGAGTAGAGAACAACCACCCCTCGGAGCGCAAGGTTCGGAGTAGTCCCAGCATATTCCAGGGGAGACTGGCTTCAAAAGATTGAAGGCTTCTTGGGAGCACTGCTGCATGCGTTACTCCCTACCTCGACTCCTGGTCTTCACTCCGGGTCCCACTTCCTACTTCGGATCTATCAGGAGTCGGGGTATCTTATATAGCAACAGTTTAGGAACTAGAAGCGAGTTCTATATCCATACAACATGACTCAACGTGTGTCTGCGACAGCCGATGCTTCCTGTACCTAAACTTTTGATTTCACGGGTTGAGTTTTGGGACCTCAGGTTCAGCCCCTCATCCCTTTGCATGACTATCTGAGGTGAGCCACATGAGGGGTTCTTCGAATGTGCTTGTACCTTGTTCAGGTGTTCCTGATGGTCAGGATCACACCTTAACGGGTCTGTTTGCTTAACCAGAGTGCTTATATTTAGGGTCCCATAATATATACAGGTCGGAAACTCTGGGGTCCTTACAATGCATAGGTTTACTGCAGCATACAGAGCCCAAAGCCCTTTCTTCTTAAGGCCCCTACATTATCATTATCATTACGATTACTATTACTATATATTTTACTAGCATTATCTACGTTATTGGTACTACTATCATTCTGATTTTCATCATGAGGGTTTGTCAGGCCCCTCTTTTCCCGAAACTCTCAGGTCCTGCTTTGCCGAGTCGTTGCTGGAAGTCCGCGGGTCTGTACGACGAACCAGATCGACGCCGAGCGCCTCCGGGAGGCGTTGACCTTAAATTTCGGGTGGTTTAGGGTTTGGGGGTTTAGGGCTTTAGGGGTTTAGGGTTTAGGGGTTTAGGGGTTTAGGGGTTTAGGGTTTAGGGGTTTAGGGTTTTAGGGGTTTAGGGTTTATAAGCAGTAGGACTTCCAGTTCGGCATTTAGCTTTCAATTCAGGGTTTATGGCGCAGGGTGCTCTGAGGCGTTGAGTCATCTTCTTGGCTTCCGTCGTCGATCTGTGTAGCTCTGGCGGCAACTGCAAGAAGTGACCACGGTTTGGGTTGAGGACTCGTGAGGAGCCTGGGTCCCGGGTTTTTCGGTTACCTGAACCTGAAGCCCCATCTCAGGAACCCTCGACTCTAGACCCTAAAGTTCTGTTCCTCAGGGTTCAGGGTTTCTTGTCTAGGGGCCCGTGCCTTGTTTCGATGCAGGCCTAAGTTCCCATGAGCACTGCCAAAGTGCTCCCGACACTCTAAGCCCTGAAGCCCCAACCCCCGCTGTAGAACCCTACCCTAAGCCGGTAAATCAAAAGATCATAAGCCCCGATAGCACCCGATAGCGACCTACAAGTACAGAGCTCGAGACTAGGCCCATAGCCGGAAGACCTTCAGAACCAACAAAGGGCGACACCATGGTACTTGGCTTCACAAGAGTTCGACCAGCCTTGCATAGATATTTTGGGGCTTAGGACTGTAGCGCATGGAGTTCCACAACAGTTTGGGGTTTCGGCTTTTCAGAGCATGAATACAGGGTTAGGGATTAGTTTTTGGGTTGCTGCGGGGCTTCGGGCAGACGTTTATGAACGCTGTTGCAGTGTCCACCTTTCAGAAAATGTTCCAAGTCAGAACTCACTGCTGTTCAATTAATGTTGTTATTTCGTTTCAGACTTCACTGCATGCTCACACGCAGAATCCGGCATTGCTTCACAACGCCCCATACCCTAAACCCTAAACATCCCTAAACCCTGAACCCTAAACCCTCATACGGCTAAGCTACGGGTGTTTTGCTGTGCCACGATGTCACCAAGCAGGACATACTCGGCGGACGGCATCACTCCGTCCTGGGAGATAGGTGCCTGGCCGGCATGGATCATTCGAGCTTCTCTGCTTGCTTTTCTTGCGCTGTATGTGTGTGTATATTATATATATATATAATGTTTATATATATATATATATATGTACCACTCCCGCTTGTCTGTTTTCGGCCCGAGAACTGCTGACTTCACCCTCCTAAACCCTACAGCCCAATTCCTAAACCCATTAAGCCCTAACCTACACTGTACTCCTCCCCGGCCTTTGCGCTTGGACCCGACGTCCCAGCTTGCTGGAGGAATTGGTTGGGGCTGTTGTGTAGTTTGTTCTTTGCAGGGCTCGCACGCATGTGCCCGTGAATTGTTTTAGAGGGGATTGTTGTTAGAAGGACTATGGCATTGTGGTTCTTCGAACTATCGACCATTATTGCATTGTTCGTTGTTGACAGGGTGTTGGTCCGTGGTATACACAACCGTTTCAAACTAGGCGCTCTAAATATGTGTTGGATTTGCCAAGGGGCTTTATGTGCCCTCTTAGGGTCGCCAGTTCAATAGGCCAGTCTCGCGCGAGGGACCTTGCCGGGAGGTTTTGCAGGGTGGCAGCTAACATGGACCAACATTTCTCTGGGCGGCCGAGGTTCAGAGCCACCCTAAAGTAGAAGCCTGAAAAATTACCAAAAAAATATTGTCCCCGAGGGATCTTTATTATGTTTGCACCATGACATACTCCAAGACCCTGCACTAGAGTACCTCATAAAGAGCGTCCGTCTTCGGAGGTCCCTCAGGAAAGAGAGCCCGAGCCGAAGTGGGGATCTTATTGTTTAGAGCTGGGCTTAGACCCTAAACCCTAAACCCCAAAGACCACACATGTTGATGAGACTCTCCTTGGTCTCTGTTTTCCACCCTGAGGCCCCTTGAGTCGTAAGATTGGAGGACGATGTTCGGGCAGTATGTGAGGATGTCGGTGACGTGATAGATGTGAACAGGTTAGGGGACGCGTCAAGTCTGGACTTGTTTCAGGCATTCTGTTGGGGGCTCGTGGGCTTCAGGGATAATGCGGCGTCATCATGCTCAAGGGATCAGCGGTTTCCTTGGCGCTGGCAGGGTCACCGAGTTGAAGAAACCGTTCCGCGAAATCGTCGTCTACGACACAGTGCTTTGGCCGCGAAGGTGTTTGCGATTGTATTGAGGGATTCGGGGGTGCAGCCCAAAACTGTCTGCCCGCAGCTATATGCAGCGATTTCCTTCACAAGCCATATTCCTTCAGAAGCCATAGAGCAAGAGGGCTTTGGGCTCCCGCAGTGGATATGGTGCACTCGGTCCATCGGTTGTCAATGAGAGCGGAGTTCTTCCCCAGGATTCCCCTACCCTAAACCCTAAAGCCCCCCGGCCTCTAACCACAAAAAAACAACGAAACCCTGAGTGCTGAACCCACCCCTCCGAACCCAGCTGCCTCCAGATCATGAGGAACCCAGTCTCCAAACCCTACCCCCCGTCTTCCTGTGCTCTCCTACTAGTACCAAGACTGCGTTCTGAGTTTCGCCAAAGGAAGCAGAACCAACTTAGTGGGTTCTGTCCGATAGCCTCGCTCCTGCGACAGTGCGGTATCAGAGTTAGATATTAAAGAACCTTGATCAACACTCCGCCACACTCGTATAGCTTTGGTCCTTTGGTGCTTTGGCTCAGGACCAGGTCTATCCCGAGTTCCTGCTGACATACACCCGCTGCTACTGACCTACTGTTATTAGGCGGCCGTCAAGACAGTCATGTGTCAGGGGACCTGACGGTGATAGTAACAGTAATGGTTGCTGATGCTGATTCCGATACCGATGCTGCATTAATGCAGCTACTGATGCTGCTGCTAATGATGATGACGATGACAATTCAATGACACTGTTCATGCTGATGACGACGATGACCATCATGACAATGAAGAGGATGCTGTCATTGATGCCGACGGGGGTATCATGATGTTGATATGATGCTGGCAATACTGCAGTAATGATGATGGCGATGAGTGTGATGGCCATGGTCATGACGATGACGATGACGACGCCAATGCTGCTGCTGCTGATGATGATGATGTTGATGATGGTGTTTGACCATCATCATTCTGATAACGATAAGCATTTCGCGTGGGACCCTTTCCGTCCATGGAGTACGATCTGCAGCTTGACCCCCGCGACCCTCTAGTCTTCTGGTCGGTATGTGATGTCAATTAACTATTGTAAGCGACCCGATAGCTTCTGTTGGCCACTGTTATTGGCAGTAGCAGAAGTTAGTAGGAGTAGATGCGGCAGTTGGAGGAGGGGCTAGGGGTTGCAGCATCGCGGGCAGCAGCAGCTGAAGGGACCGTTCTCGTGCAAAAGCCGCCTTCGGCAATGGACCATCCGCAACACAAGCACTTTAAACCTAGAGCCCTAAAGCTATTCGTCTGCATGCTTTCGAGAGGCTGCTGGTGGACCTCGGCACTCCGGCCACGGCCCGGTGGACGCAGAGCACAGCTTCAAGAGGAGCGAGCTGACGGCGGAGGGTTCCAGGAAATGAGCGGTCCTGTTTTATAAGGGTGCCGTACTATTTAATATTGGTGACTTACAACCCTAATTTAGAGAACTACCCATATGATTGATTTCACGAAGACCAGAGCTTTTCTCATGCGCTGTCACTGCTACTCTGGCTGTGCTCGTGGATTACGGTTTGGGCTGTCCGGATTTCGTGCTTTTTTACTCGTTTTGCAACTTTATTGCTTGACAGCTCGCCGGTGAACTGCATTAATATAGGGGCCTTAATATACTTTTTTTTTGGGGGGGAGGGGGTTCCTTACTATAGTTATATAGTATAAAATACCCCAAAACTCTATTCTAGTTATTCAGGCCCCTACATTATTGCCATTGCAATTACCAGTAGCAGGGACCGTTCTCATTTAATTGGTTTCCGATTGTTGACACTTGTTGCAGGTATTGCCGCTATCAGCCTGGGACTGCTATAAGCAAATTTATGTCCCTAGGATCTGGCTTTAAACTAAGCACAGTCACCGACGTTGTTGCTGCTAGTGTTCTGTTTGCGGCTGTCGCAGTTCTAGTATAGAAATCTCAACCCCATGTGGCTATCATGAAGCATACTCCCAAATTATGTTGTAATGGCCTGACCTTTATGTTTGAAAAGGAACCCAGGATCCTGGATCGTCAACACAATGCCGTAGAAGTTCAAGCGCTTGGAGCTGAAAGTAGAAGGATCCGGAACGCCAAAACGCCCCCCAACATACACACGGCACTGTAGCATGGGGCCGCGGCTTTAGCGGAGCCGCCGGCTCTGCCTTTGCTGAACTTCCTCACCGGTTGCGCGAGAACCCCTAATTAGATGTGCAGCAGGACAGGGAGGGCAGCAAGGACAGCGTGGAAGACCCCCAAGTTCGGCGCATGAGCAGCGTTTGTCTGGACTGGAGCGCTGGCAAAGCCCAGGGCCATGAGGTGAGGTTCAGGGATGCCTGGCGCCTCCCGGGGCTTTACAGAGCCTCCAGAGATCCCTTTTCCGCAGCATGCCCCTGACATATTGTAGCGAGTCTGAGAATGGCACCAAAACTTATGGAACATTGGAGGCTCTGGATTTGTTTGCTGTGGGATGGTCGACCAAGGAAGGCGACAAATATGTGCAGCAGATGTGACAGAAGGCTGCCAAGCAGCGTTCCAAGAGGGTTTTGGGGTCTTGGGACGGAGCCTTCGAGACGAGATGCGGATGGTTCAAAAGGGATGGCCGCACGAAAGTGCCAACCATTGTCGTCCCTGCCTTTTCCACCTCTGCTAGCAGCAGCTTAAAGTTCTGCTGGCCGAGAGTCGCTTCAGAGCATGGCCGCTTTACGAAAGAAACAACGATGTCCGGAAGGATACATGGAGTGCAAGGTGTCCTGTCACCCACCGGATCCACCCCAGGGTTTTTGAGCACATAAGGTAGTGGACGAGGCTGATTTTTCGGCGCTTTCTCGCGGAGAGTGGATTGCACGGGGGTTGGGGGCCCGGGCGCGCTCGAAAGAAGCACAGCGCCGCAAAGCCGCAAAGCGTCTCAGACGCAAGACGGCATCTCCAGCGTCTTAAGCGTCTCAGGCGTCGCGAGCGTCTCGAGCGTCGCAAATCTCAAGCGTCTCAGGCGGCTCAAGCGTCTCAAGCTTCTCAAGCGTCTCACGCGTCTCAAGCGTCTCAGGCGTATTTAAAGCAGGGGCGCAAGCGTCTAAGGCGTCTCAAGTTCTACTCTGACAAGCAGGGGCGCCCCCTCAGTCCAACGCTCCATCCTCGGAGTTTGAGGTCTGTAAGAGTTTTGTTTCAATAATCAGGGGCGCCTTTCAGTCCAAGGCTCCATCCTCGCAGTTCAAGGTCTGTAAGAGTTCTGATTGAAAATCAGGGGCGCCGCATCAGTCCAAGGCTCCATCCTCGGAGACCACGGTCTCTAAGAGTTCTGATTTCAGAAACCATGGAGAGGCTCAGGCTCCATCCTCGAAGCCGCCGCCTTCGAGCCGAGCGTGCTCCCTCAGAGCCGCCGCCTTCGGGCCGAGCGTGCTCAGAAGCCGCCGCCTTCGGGCCGAGCGTGCTCAGAAGCCGCCGGCTCCGGGTTGAGTGTGCTTTCTCCCTCACCAAAAATACCTGGAGCTTGAGCGAGGCCAAGCCGCACGACATAAATTCTTCGAACCCAAAGAACCCACAGATATGCCTGACAAAAACAAAAATTACCTAAATTTTACACACCCTAAAATATCTTACGAAGTCCATGCCAAAAAAACAACCTGACAAAAGAACAAACACCTAAAACCCACATCCTAAACCCCTCAAACCCAAAAACATATATATTAAAAGTGTTAAGAACGAAAATCCAAAAAAAAACTATCGACCCCAAAAATATTATGAAAGTCTCATACGACAACAACCCGAAATCCTCAAAAAGACTTGAATCCCACATCCTAGACCATGCATACCCGAAAAAAGGTTCAAAGATATACATAAACATACTAAAAGTAGCTCAACATACTGTCAACCCTAACTAAAATACTATATCAATCCTGTACAAAAGCAACCGGGAATCCTCTAAAATACGTGAAGCCGATATCCTAAACCCTCTGTATCCGAACACAACCCAAAGACATACATAAACAATTTTTAAAACAGTATCCAAAGCAATGCAAACCCGAAATCTTCAGAAAGACATGAAGCCCACATCCTAAATCCCTCATACCCGAAAAACGGCAAAGATATACATAAAACATATTTCAAAAAAGGTCTAACATAGCATTAATCCGAAAATCCGATTAAAACTCTTTACAAAAAAACAACTCGAAACCACATAAAAGCCTTGAAGTCCGCATCCTAAAGTCCGAAACCTCTCAAACCTCAAAAAAAACCCAAAAGTATACAAAACACAATTGATAAGAAAAAACCCAGTACTAATCAGTATTCCAATATTATATAAACCCCATACAAAAAACAGTTCGAAATCACATGAAAGTCTTGAAATCCACATCCTAGACCTCTCAAACCGAAAAAATCCAAAGATACACATAAAGACATATTGATAGGACAGACCCAAAGTACTAACCAGCCATAAAATAGCATAAAAATCGCATACAAAAGCAACCCGAAATCATTAAACAAAAAAAGACTTGCAACTCACATCTTGAACAGCAATGTGCTCATTGTCTTTCTTTGAAGACTTCGATGTTTCAGCGTCAGTTTGCAAGAAGTCTTTTTGCTTTTTCGGGTCTTGATGTTCGTCCGGAATTCCCCCAACTTTCGGAAAACATTGGCAAGCGTGAGTTAATGCCTGATTGTTACTTTCAAGTTTTGAAAGTATTAGATCTGTACATGAAAGAATTGGAAGAACAAACAAGCGACATGTCTCGACTGGCGAAGTGTCCAATACATGTCTTACATACAGGCATACATGCATATAGACAGATATAGAACTCTAGTATAATTGCGCGATGCTAAAATCGAGGTTGACATCCAGCGATGTCGAAGATTTGTGCTGCATTGCAGTTGACACGTCTTCACAGACCAACTGTGCGCGTTCATTCCGGCCTCAGTAAGCAGCGCTCGTAGCAGTAGCAAATCTTTCGAGTGCTCCCAACTTCACCTTGAAGTGGCAACATGGGACGTGGTCACAACCGCGGTCTCGTGCTCAGCTGGGTTTTATCTGCGAGGCTAGTGAAAACAGGTTGGCTCGCGGGACGGAGCAACCAGGCGCCACGCGCAAGACAGGCAGCGGCAGGCGCAGACGAAGTTCAGTGCTAAGTTGCAAAGTCCCATGTGCAAGAAAAGCTTTACTAGTTTACCCAGGGAAGCTGACCAGCCGAACCCAACGGCTTCTCTTGTTGGCATCTTAGCCTTGAAAAGTCAATACCGCGACATGAACATGGCAGCAACAAGGCTTCTACGAAACGGAAGGAAGACAAGTGGCCGCCTTAGCCTATCTGGACAGCCGAGTGCTGGCAATGCCAAGCTTGAGGCCAGTCCCCAAACCGAA